AAAGGGTTGTGGACGAGAAAGACGAGAATGTGGACAACTCCCAGACCGGACAACGCCGTGGTAGCGACCTACCAACCACAAGGTAACCACGCCCTAAAGCTTACCCTGCCTGGTCATCTATTTTATTCGAAATGGGAACTTAATTTACAAAATGAGCATCACACTATATTGAAGAAGACTTGAAACTCAAAATTGAGACCATAAACTAATGTTCACAATGTTTACTGGGATAATAAATCAAGTAAGAAGTAGGTCATTTTCTCATAGACTACCACAGGAGTCGGCCCCCTGCTGGCCATTAGAAGGAATGCAAGTTTAAGGCACTTCCACATTGGCTTCACTTTTCAGAACCGGATGTTGCTGCCTGTATTTAACGGACAGGTATGAATCTTCTTATCTGATTCTCATCAAGAAGGAAGCGTATTTCCCAAAAAGGTCTACTATTTCTTTAAAGAACTCAGTCCAAGAGATTGAAAAATGTTCTTGTTTCACAGAGGAGTGCATCATCCTTCAATGGAAGAACACTTGACGAAGGTCTTTACAAACTAAATGCTATGTATTACACCTGTACACTTATGTACAATCAACTAATTAATGTGAGCATAGAAACAATCATTTCACATCTGAATGATTCTGAATAATTTAAGAAAGTAGGACGACATTTAAAATATACAATTGAAACATCTAATCCTACTCCTCTTATTTGCATTAAACCCCTGCATTACATCATTCAATAACAACAAAGTCAGGCTATGCGTGTGTGTGTGTGCATGAGAGGATACACATGTAACAATACCTTTGGGTATGCTTGAGGTGTTTGAAGGCTGTGTGAGAGACTATGGGGGTGTGTCTGCCTCTCATCAGTGTCAATCTATACTGCGATTGAGGATACACCACCGTATGTGCATGGAGTATGTGCCTTAGACTGTCCAAGAGATTGCAGCGCTGTGGTCTTGGCTTAGTAGCTAATCATTGAGCTTAACCTCCTCTGTGCTGCTGGCGTGCTCTGAATTGACCCAATTACCAGGACTTAAGATACCAGCGGTCTTCCTATAAGACTACAAGCAGCTCCGGATGAAGCCCTCCGATACTCCATGAACATCACTTTGACTCAGCATGCACTGACAGTAACGCTGTGGCATTGGGAATATCAGCAGAGCCAGACACACAAACAATGCGGGTGACATTTATCTGTCTTGATACTCACGACGACACATATAAGTTGGACCAGAAGGTTGTTTTCTGCAGAAGATCCATCTATCAAGCAGAGAATAGGCTCCAGAAATTTCCCCCTCAGCACTATTTTGCAAATTCACCAGTGAGCTGTGCACAATTTATGCTTTTTCATTGATGATTCACATCCCCAAAAGTGTTATTACTTTTACCAGAATGGCCAAACGCTCTACATTTAGCATTTTTGGGGGTAAATTTCAGTAAAAGTGAGTGTCAATATCAAAGAAAATTTTCCTTGTGCAGCCACTTTGTCAGAAATATAACAGAAGGGCAACTGGTGCATCTGTTTAAAGTGCAACCAAACGAAGAAAAAAATAAATGCAGGCCATAATTAATATCAAAAATGGGGTTTGATTTCATGAAATCTTAAGGATTATAACTCTAAGTCAAGTGTTTTCAATAGTATTCATTCATTCATTCATTCAAAGGTTGTAGTGAAAGTTTGGCTTGAGCCCTTGTCATAAAACAAAGGGGTTGAATTTCTAACTAGTTGCTCACTGGTGTGTACTTGCAAAAAAAGTGCGAGAGGTAAATGTAACTGGAGAACAAATTAAAATATTGCCGTAAGACGCTTTAAGGTAACATTTTCTAAAATATATGTAATATAATCCAGAGACTGAACCAAACATGTTTCACTGTGAAAGCCAAATGTGTATCATCATTAGCATTTAGCTTCTTTAGCAGCAGTGCTTGTTGTTGCCAATAGAGAGGGGCACTTAAAAAGGGACAACAAAGCAAAACCTGATGCATGTTTTTCACAAGCGAGATGCCGACTTCCCTCAATTTTCACATTTTCAACACAGCAGCTTCAGGTATTCAGAGTCTACATCTTAAAACATCCATCTACCTGCAACTATACTCCTGATAAGTCTTAATGGAAATACTGTATATACTAAATGCGCACATTTAATAAGATTTTAGAAAAATATTTCCCCTGCTGGCAGATTGAATCCTGAGCTGTAAACAAACCCTGCAACCATAATCACGCTGATTCTGTGCGGCAGTTTTTACACAGGATTGGATGCAACCTGGCCATGTAATTAGTCTGCGAGTGTGTATTAGTACTGAGTATTAGCTTGACCTGGGGAACCCTGGGTTGCTCCGTCTGGCCTCTCTATAAGACTCCACTAATACCACGGCCTGGCAATCTGGGAAACAGAGGCGCCTGGATATTAACACCAGAATCGGGCCAAGAAAGAGGAAGGAAAATTCAGTTTCCGGCACTAGCAATACAGCAATCATGTCTGTTTTCAAGTCTGCATGATGTATTCAAATTATTTTTTTCAAGACAGCCTATTCTTAGACGCTATGAAGGCCACCGACCTGACTGAAGCACTAATTGCAGACTGCCGTAGTGTGTTGCAGAAGCCCGCCTGCAGTGACAGATGGTGAGACTGACAGGGTTGGTACTTTTGGATTGGTTTCTACCTACGACATCAAGCAAGCACAGCTTTTTTTTTTTTTTTAAATAATACCACTTGATCCACGTCTGATAACAACGTAGATGGAGACAACAAGGGAATCCCGCTCCGGACTGCTTGTGACGCTCCCATAAAAAATACTGGGATTACAAGAGAAACTGACCGTTTCTTTATCTCAAACCACTAAATACTTTCAATGTTCTCTCAGTTCTTTGAACAGATTTGAAGATGGATGGTGCCGATAGTAAATTAATGACTAATATTTGAACAAAATGTCAAATACTCTGTATTAGTTATGCACAAGACTACGACAATCCTGCCGAATACCATGTTTAATGAAGACTGTATGAGCTGGTGCCGTCAGAACAACTAAAAGACTTTAGCATTGATCTGTATTAAAGCAGACGTTCTGCAGCATATAGTTATATATAGCTCGGGAGTGCTCAACAGTGATGGTGCACTTGACTAGACTTGTGCTGTCAAAGCAACAGACAGACTTAAACATCATGAGGAGACAGCAGTTAACTCGAACTTCAAAAAGCTTCATGGAGGCAAGCTCTGTTTGAGAAGAGAATACATTTTTGTCAGCCAATGCATGTTTATTTCATTTTCCTCATGACAGTGAGTTATTGGTATTTGACTTTAAATTTTCTCTTTTCACTTAATTATTCTCATGTTGTGTAACGTTTTGTTTTTGTACAGCTCTTTGAAATTGTTGATTTTGATAAGGGACATATAATCGTCGTTTATAATAATGATATTAATAAAGCGTTAGTGTCTTTAAAGTGGCAGAAAGTATGTGGTGAAATGGTAAATTGTTGGAGAATTTTCACTCAAGGGAAACAATTGCTGTTATACCACAGTAAATATGGGCAACACTGCAATAATAGAATATTGGATCTAATATGGATGTATGGTTGATTAATTAATTTTAAAGAAATTAACAAGATAAATACAAATATCAGAGACTGCACCCAGAAAATACCATTAATTATTCTTTTTTAATTTACTGAAGCCACAAAACTTCTCTGCTTGTGTGTGTGTGTGTGTGTGTGTGTGTGTGTGTGTGTGTGTGTG